ATCCTAATATATATTATAATCTCATATATATATATATATATTAGAATCCTTAAATGAACAGCTTATAACCCTCACATACATTGAAAACATAATCAGATTTCAAGTATTGTTTCCATGTTTTGCAGCGAATTCACCAGTTTGGAGAGAATCTTTTCTATACTTTTATAAACATAATTTTTATCAAGCAATGGGAATTATGTCTCTTTCTCTTTTAGGGGTTCAGTCCACCAGAATTTTGCTGACTTTACATTTGTGACTGGCAAAATAATTGGAACCAAGCTTACATTAAAAGGAGAAATAGACTCAGGAGTAGCCATCGGGCTCACCAACAAGGCATCCTTGGCTTTCTTACAAAAGCACTTAGGTAAGAAACAGTTATGTTCCTTCAGCATGTAAGCTGGGAGCTTCTGACCATAAATCCATCTTATCTTCACTCAGCATTACTGTCATTTTTAGACATTCCATTTGCTTTATAGTAGATAGGAGAATAAATCAATCAATTTGAAAAGAAAATGAATTTTGCTGGCTTGCATATGTGTGTGTGTGTGCGCGCGCATACATAGTTAACAAATGTATATTTGTTAAAGCTGATAGTCCTGTGAATCCTGGTAGGATTCACATGTTAGGATGTTGGGGATACTACAAGCAGATGCTTAGCTCTGAAACTGAGTGTATGCATCTGGGAAAGTGACCCTGGAGCCAGGAACAAAATATCCCCACATTGCTGCATACTTTCTGTCATTTGTGATTCTTTCACACCACCTAGAGGTATTCAACTGTGTGACAGTCTCCATTGTTGAAAGTGTTCTTTTTTTTTTTTTCAATAGGACTTCATAAAGACTTTGATCAGTGGGACTCCCTGGTGGAAGGAGATAACGAGAATTTGATCCCAGGGTCACCCTCTGACTCTGTCACCCAATCTCCAGCTCCACAAAGCTCTACAGGATCTCACACACAGAACTAGAAGAGCTTTTACAAATTCTTTTAAGATTTTCTGAGAGAGAGGGAGAGAGAGAGAGAGAGAGAGAGAGAGAGAGAGAATGAGAAAGATTGAGAGAGATGTCAATGTATTTCCTCAAATAACTATTTTTAAATGTGGGTTGATAGAATAGTGATGTAAGGCCTTGAATAAGATTTTTTTCCCTGTAACTATAAAGCAAAATCGAGTACACAAAAATCTTTACCAGACTAAATTATATTTTCACTAAGCAGCTCCTTTTAGTGTCAAAATTAAAAACTGCTTTTGTATTATCTTAAGGAAAAGTATATTAAGACAGGCATGATGCCGTTGAAAACCTGTAGCAATGATATAACTTGCCTAAATGTACACTAATTAACAGATTATCTTTTATTCTTAGTAGTAGAGTTGAATTTTCGTGATGTGATAGTCTGTATAGAATTTGGTAGCATTTCTCTTTGACTTTCAGCGATGGTAAGAAAAATGACATGAAACTGATAATAAAGCCATTGTTTTGAAGCAGGATTGTCAATACTGTACAATTTCATTCTGATGTTGAACTGGGAAGTGTGAGGGTTTTAGAATATTGGGGACAATGGAGGTAGCAGTGTCATGCAAGTTGGTACTTCATTGACATTTTAAATACCTTATCTCTGATGCATTTTATTTACTAAATGGAGATGCCATAAGTTTCAAAGCTGTGTGAGACAGGCCAGGGATTCTGGCATTAGTTACTGAAAGCAGCAAAGAACGACAAAGGAGACATTCGGAATTGCATTGAACATTTTTCCCGATTTTTAGTTGGCTGTTTGATTCATATGTGGTACTGGTGTAAGTAGAAAAACAGCAAAGTGAAGGCTTAAAAAGCATCATGTCTTTGTGTTTGCACATGTGTATACATTTGTGTGAGAACATGCAGGAATTCCACAGTGCATATGTGGTCAGAGGACAACATCTGGTGTCGGTCCTTGGCTTCCCCCTTGTTTGAGATGGGCTTTCTTTGTTGCTAACCGCTACATCTGCCAGGCTAGCTGGCCCTCAGACATCCAGGGATTCTGTCCCTGCTTCCCATGTCAGTGTGGAGCACTGGGTTCACAGACCTGCACCACTGCAACTGACTTTCCATGGCTTCTGGGATTCAAATTCAGGTCCCCTCACTTACAAAGCACTTACCCACTGAGCCATCTCCCTAGCCCTGCAAAATTATCTTAAAATATACATACATGTATACATCTGAGATCCATGGAAAGTGGTTGTTTCCCAAGGGCCACAAAAAATTTAGGCCATCCATTACTTTAGTATATATTTTGGTCTATGTATTGTGTTGGTTTCTGCTTCTCCAGAATTTAGTTTGACTTAACCTGTGTGAACCAGGATACTCAGCAATTGGGGAGCAAATCTGGCTTGACTTTCTTTTGCCCAAGTAATAATCATGTGTTCTGATTTGGCACAACAAGCCTAATTAGTGTCTTAAGGTGCAAAATCAATTTGAGAAATTTGACTTTTCTTCCCCTGTAGTCATTCAGATTAAAAGTTTAAAAAAAGAGAATTAAACTCCTTAGCACAAAACTGAAGGTTTTCTGTAGTCTGGCCATACCATAACTGACTTTTCCTCTTGGTAATTCATAATATTTTTTCAAGATTCTATTTTTAAAATTATGTGTATACATGTATTTGTGTGTGTGTGTGTGTGTGTGTGTACCTGAATGCAGGTGCCCAAAGAGGCCAGAGGTGTTGGATCCCCTTAGAGCCGAAGATAAAGTTTTTTGTGAGCCACTTGACGTGGGTGCAAGGGAACCACAGTCTGGTCCAGTGCAAGAACAGTACGTGTGCTCTCACTTTGAGCCATCTTTCCATATCTGTCCTCTTTTTTAATTCAGTCCCCTCTCCATTTCCACTTAACTGAAATGACACCCAGTTTTAAGATGCTTAATTCTCACTGTTCCCACGAGACTGCAGAGTCTGGTCATGTTTCCATTCACATGCCTTCACCCCATCCTCATTGGGCAGACTGCCCTACTTTTTTAGAAATTAAATGTTCTTGTTCAAATGCCTTGTTCAAGGATACTGTTTTACTTTTGTGTTGTTTTACAGTTCTTTGTTTGTGGTATATGCAGATGCTCAAAGAAAAAGACGGATGAAAACATCCAAGAAGCTAAGACTGAAAAATAAACTAGCATACTGGGTATTTTTCACGGAAAAGGAGAAAAAACATTTCAAGCATTTTGCATAAGTTATTTCTAGCAATTTTTTGTCCCGACCCGCAGGACACTTCTACAGTGGCACGACGAATGGGGGTCCTAGAAGGAATGACAAACAAGGAACACGAAGAAAGAGAGCAAGACAGTGTTCTGATCAAGCTCCAAAATTTTATTTGAAAGCAGCAGATATATATACTGGTAGTGGAAGGGGGGG